GATTTGAACTTTCCCACTCCTGATACTTGCTAGCTAAGGTCAAATTGTTTAACCTAAGATGGAGACAATAATACTTGACCTACTAATCTTGAAGGACTATCTTGAGGAGAGAGCTTCCATGGATTGCAAAGAGCCGCATAAATGAGAGCTATAATTATTCTTCTAGTTACTATCTTGAAGCCAGACCACGGCCAAATAGTGTGCCGGATGCATCATCGGTCCCATAGTCCATTAGGGCCAGCAGGTGCAGTAACCCAAGTGCTAAAGAGAAAGGGAAAAAAAATTCTCCCTCCTTCATCTTCCAGGTATCTTTATATTTCAGGTACTACTTCAACATTTTTCCTAATAATATGACCTGAACAGGACTGGGTCTAGCCCACCATTTCCAGTGGGAAACTTTGAACTCCTTAATGTCCAAATCACCTTATCAGCATCAGCTAACAAGTCATTACATTGTGTCCCAAAAATTCTATGGAGTAATAAGGAGACTCTACTGATTTGATGTTTTATCAGGTTTCAGGTTGGGGAAATAGATGTTATTTCAATCAGGATGATGATTCTATTTCTCTGCTGGAAATGACTTTTTTTTTTCCTGTGGCAGGGAGAGACATCACCAAATTTCATTTAGGGGACTGGGCTGGGTCATGTGGCAATTGAATGGATTTCCTCATAACCTCAGAATGGGAGCATGAGCATCAGTGGGAGATTCAAGGAAACATGAGGAAACAGGCACATAAAATTGTAAAAAGAAAAATATAATTCTATTCGAACACTAGACAAAGCCGATGAGACTGAAACCCAGGAGATAAGCACTCAATGTGTGCCTTAAGGCAGCAACTCTGCTAACTGAACAGCTAGTGTAATATTTGTATTGTTTGGGACAATAAGGATATCAGAGAATGATAGAACCATCGAATTTTAGATTCAGAATGGATCCAGGAGATCAACTGCTCACCCTCTCCTAGGTCTCTGTGTGAATGCTTGCAGGGATAGGGAGTTCATTACCTCATTAGGCAGCCCATTTCATTATTTGGAGTAGCTCTGCTAGAAAGCCATGAGGAAGATCCTCTCTATATATTGATAAAGCTCCTACATAATAGTAAAATCAAATTATTAAAAGTCAGAAGGTTTTGATAATATGCTAGACATAATAGTATTCTTTGTCTTTTGGTGTTTGCTGGAATCCAAGAGCTTTTTTAAAGTTAACTCTGTCAGAGTCTACTAAATTGGAAAGGCTTCAAATATGTCCAAAAATGGACTTTGGTCTGAGAACTAGCTTAGAGAAATGGGGAGGGGCTCAAAATCAAGAGCAGACAAAAGGTGATGCTTTTGTGGTCACTGCAACTCATGAAACTGTCATTTAAGAGGAAGGAAATAAGCATTTATTAAGCACAAATATTATCTTATTTGATCCTTACAGCAACGCTGGGAGGTGGTACTATTATTATCATCTACATTTTACAGTTGAAGAAATTGAGGCAGACAAGGTTAAGTGACTTGCCCAGCTAGTAAATGTCTGAGGCCTGATTTGAACTCAGGTCTTCTTGACTCCAGGCTCAGGCTCTATATGTTGTGCTACCGGCTGTATCAGAAGGTAGAGGGATCCAGATATACTTTAGTGGATGCACCAGTGGTGCATCAGGCACACCATCTGGCTGTGGTCTGACTTGAAGACAGTCACTAGAAGAATAATTATAGCTCTCATTTATGCAGCTCTTTACAATCCATGGAAGCCCTTTCCTCAGGATAATCCTTCAAGGTTAGTAGATCAAGTATTATTGTCTTCATCTTAGGCTAACTAATTTGACCTTAGTCCCATAACTAGCAAGGATCAGGGGTGGGAAAGTTTAAATCTGGCCTTTGACACTTACTAGCTGTGTGACCCTGGGCAAGTCTCTTTACCCTGTTTGCCTCAGTTTCTTTATCTATAAAATGTGCTGGAGAAGGAAATGGCAAACCACTCCAGTATCTTCACCATGAAAACCCCAAATGGGTTCATGAAGAGTTGGACACAGCTAACTGACTAAACAACAGCAACAGTCATCACCCCAGTGAAATCCCAGGTGTCTGAGTAGTATTTAATGGTAGTCATTTGTGTATATGTCTTTTGTTGTTTAACAGTTTTTCAGTGGTGGTCAACTTTTCGTGTCCACCTTTGGAGTTTTCTTGGCAGTTATTAGAGTGATTTGCCACTTCTTTCTCCCAATTCATGTTACACACGAGGAAACTGTTAACAGGGTTAAGTGACTGGCCTAGGATCACACAGCTAGTAAATGTCTGAGGCCACATTTGAACTCGGGTCTTCTTGCCTCCAGGTGCCCCACTAAACTATAAATTCCATGAGGAGAGGCACCAGATCCAGTCTAAAATGCATCTCTCCCCTAGTACCTGGCATAGAATTCTTACAAAGCAGGCACTCAATACTCTTATAGAGAACATTGAGTTCTTACATAGCAGGTGCTCAATAAATCTTGGGTTGAAATGTTGAATTGAATTGAGCTAAACCACATCCAAACAGGAATAGATAACACATTTAGCAAAATCTCCCTGATTCAGAGTAACTGGAGAGCAAGACTGATCCAATTCAGCAGAAAGCCTGACTTATAGACTGGGTTTGAAGGGAGGCGGCTTCATTCTGTTCAAGTGCTGGAATACAGTAATTCAAACTCAGTTGTTGCCTAATAGGGCTCTTCATAGGGGACCTGCTCTAATGAATTGATGAGTGACTCCTTATTAGCATGCCAGTTGTTCTGTTATAAATGGCCCATCTAAGGTGCTTGAAGATATGTGGGAAGTTTGATAAGCATTTTAAATATTCCTCTAGGATCTTGTTTGCGCAATGAATTTGTACTCTCTCTAAAAAAAAAGTTTCTCTAAGAAAAGGTTAAGTTTCAACTTAATCCCAAAGGACAAATGATCACAAATTCTGAATTAATGGGGCCTGAATGGTTGACAGTTTACTAGAATACATCATATTCAGTCAAAGTTTGAAACATAAGAAGCACCATCATTTTCAATCACAGCAGAGTTTGAAATTCATGATTGCTTATTTTTAGCTGCTATGTATCTCAGGAATTCCAGCTTGAAAATCACTGTCAGTCCAGGTGAAAATGACATTTGGCTCTGTCCCCTGTGACTGGAATATTTGGGGGGCTCCAATGACGGAGGATAAGGTCTTGGAATATCATGATTCTGCATCCTTTAGTGACATCCCAGCAGTCTCTCTTGCCCCGAGTCTTTACCTATGGCTCATTTCCTCTGTGAACAAAAGCTTCCCCTTCTTTCTAGTTTTCCAAAGGACCTTTTTCCTTGGCCAGTCATGCATTAGACACTCAATTACAAATAATGAGAGTAAGCTTCTGATTATTCACAAACCAAATAATAATAATAAAAAAAAAACCCTCAAGTAGGCAGACTTGAGTATAAAGAATTGTATCATGGTCATTGATCTCTAGAGAGGGGAGTGATTGTAACATACTGCAAGATTCTCAAGGGATTCCAGATTCTCAGAGGAATTATTCAATCAAGTCCTGAGTTCTTCAAGAACAGGGATTCTTAACCTTTTGTGTCCTAACCCTTTTGGTGAAGTCTATAAGCTGTTTCTCAGAAATAAGGTTTTTTTTTAAATGCATAAAATAAAATATGTAGGATATGAAAGAAACCAATTATATTGAGATATAATTATCAAAATATTTCTAAAAGTTCACAGACTTCAGGTTGAGGGTTTAGAGTGAGATGTATTTGTATCATATGTTAGTTTTTGGAAACCTAGTCCAGGGCTGTTAGAATCTATCCCTGCACTCCATTCTCAGCTTGATTCCTTACGCAAAGATTTAGTCTTAGGCCAGTCTGCTGGCATCTCATACATAGGTTATGCTTCTGTCCATACCTCCATACTCATGCTATCTCTCTGGCTGAAATCTTGCCCCTCAACCCTACCCTCACACATACTCTTTTAAAAATCCTTTTCATTCTGTAAGCCCACGCTTAAGTAGCCCTTCTTCCTGCAGCCTTCGTGGTCTATTCCGGTCCACATTGATCTCTCTACTCTCTGAACTTCTGTAGCCTGGACTGTCTGCATCAGGCAATCTGGAACTTAATTATGTACTGTCCCTTGTGTTATCTAATTGCTTCATGTGAGTATGCCTTATCTCTTCTATTAGATTATAATTGCCTCAAGCCACTAAATGCCCCATGTTACTTTTGCATTCACCACAGCCCCCATTATAGTGCCAGGCATTCAGCAGGCACTTAATAAATTCATTCTGATTGAGTCATTGAATAGTTTGTATAATATAGTATCTCTTAAACAGAATATTAATTTATCAGAATACTCCATACTCCACTGACCCTGGATGAACAAGATGTTTAGGATCATTTTGACATCTAGCTCAGACTCAGACCAATTGTTTAAAATGAGAATTATGAGGCCCTATCTAGGATTCCAAATCCAGCTAAGTGGTAAAAGAGTAACTTTGTTCTGATTATGTAGAAGATTCTTTCAATGACCAGTGGCTTCTAGCATTCCACCACAAGTTTGAGATCTGATCCCCCTTTTTGGTATTGTTTGTTGTGGTGTGTCTTGTTACAACGAAAAAATAAGCCAGATCTACCTTCATTACTCCCTTACCCTTGCCCCACCTCCAAGCAAAGGATCTTCTCTCTGGAGAAGAGACCAAGTCTTCCAGAACGTCCCAGTTAAGCAAGATGGGAAACCATCTCACTTTTATAAACCAAAAAGGCCAGATTCTATACCATCTTGGTAAGAACCAGTCTTCAGAGACATCCATCTAATTCTTCTAAAATTCAATGCGTTAAGAAGTACCCCCAAGGCATTAACTTGTGTTTCCAAGAAGCAAAGGATACCGCTGAAAACAAGATGTTAAAACTGGCTCCATCAGAGACCCGTCCTTCACCAGGAAGAGGAGAAAGAAAATTCCATTTCCCAGGGGCATTGTTAAATCACAGACCCTCCCCAAGGAATCGAAATTCATACTCACAAGCAACCTGGTCTTAGTCTCAAATTTCAGACCCACAGTTCCTTAGCGAACCTGATCATTTCCTGTAAATAGAAGAAAGGGAAGGGAAATCATATCAGCATCTGCTGTGGGTATCTTTCTGTGGCTACATGGATGACCTCTGCCATTCTGCACCTTCTCTGTATTCTGTCTTCCCAGAAACACCCTTATGAACCTCCCAAGGTTTGTTTCTTACCAATCGAGAGGACAGACCCCTGCTTCATACACAATCACACACACCTACACACCCCTACATGGGTGCAGGACACACACCCACACACCCCCCCACACACACACACACCCTTGACACTGTGCCTTTCTCAGATTGACCAGCACATCCAATTCCCCAGAGGCTCTCACGAATCTTCCTACTCCAGGATGAAGCTTACACTTCTGTAGCATGGAGTTGCCTAGCAACCCCGTGCAAGAGACTCTGAAGGCCTTCCTAAATTGGACCTTAACAGCACAGGGCATCTCCTTGTACAGCTGCCTGAATCTTAACAATCTGCCTCTGAATAATAACACCGAGGTAATTGCAATTCACGGACCCCAAACTACATTTAAATAATGTTCAAGCGCTGACACAAACCAGCAAAGGCCAGAGATTTCATAGTGGAGGCTGACGTTCGGCTGGTAGCTCCTGCTTTGTGCGGGGCTGGGGAGGGGGGGGGGAAACAGAGAGGTGACACCAATGGCTTGAGTTAATGACAATACGAACTTGAACTCTGAATGTCCCTGCTTTTTTTCATTACTGTGTTACTACCTCAATGCACTACAGTGATATTTGGCACAGGCTTGTCCTTTAGTCTCTTCCGTGTGCACAGGGTTATGTTGTTTATTTTTACCGTCTTTTGTCCTATGTACGACTATATTTCTTGGTTTTTTAAATGCCAGGAATAAGTAAGTGGTAGGAGAGGGGTGTGTGTGTGTGTGTGTGTGTGTGTGTGTGTGTGTGTGTGTGTGTGTAGGCTGAGGAGAACTCACTAAACAAAGCTGACCAGCACAAAGGCATTGGCTTGATTTGGCCAAGAACAAAGACATTTCCAGGATTCCATGCTAACATAGATTTAAAAAAGGGGTAGGGGTGGGGGTGGGGCTAGGGAATTGATAATAGGGACAGAATGAAAACTCCATGAGGCCAGAGCAGTTCTTTTTGAATTCCCAGTGCCTGGCACAGTCATTGGCACACTTAACAAATGATTCTTGAATTTCCTGAATTGAACTGAAATGAGGAATGGAAGACTAAGGGAGGGAGCTGGGGAGCCTCAGACCGAGGAGACAGACCCATTTGTGGCTAAGGCTGATGGGAAGAAAGAACTTTTCTCAAGTGGCTAGAATCTTGGAAGTATGTAAAACATGGAGAGATAGCAAGCTGCCATTCTTGCAGCAAGAGCTGTTAGTGTCAGGCAGATCAAGTTTGTTCATTCTGAAAGCCTGAAGCACTTTTTTTTTTTAAGCTCAACATCCCCTCATGTACTAAAAGCATAATGTGTAAGTTCCTACACAAGTTCCAATACAAGACTTCTGTCCAGCTTCATTTTGGAAGTCAAGACTGCCTGCCCCATCAACAGGGTCAGTTAGAGAGCCTTGTATCCACCTCCAAAAAAACCATTCCTGAGCCAAGTGCGTTAAGTCAAGCTCCCTTCTTGTGAATATGGTGATTTTAATGTCCCATGTAGCTGTGGCTGAATGACAAAGAAAAATAAAGAATATAAATTAGAAATAAAATTTATAGTGTGAGGGACTGAGTCAGAAGACTTTGGTTGAAACCTTGTCTCTGTCACTGATTCACTGTGTGACCATGTATAACTGCTCCAGACCTCAGTTTCCTCATCTATAAATGTGAGGGGGTTGGGCAAATTGATCTCTAGAGGCCCTTCCAGTTCCAGATCTATGATCATATGAGTAAACTCTTCTACCTCATCTTTATGGCCTTGCAGAATAAGATACTCTCTACCTATCCAACCCTAGTTCTCACTGCTATCTAACATGATTACCATTCTCCTTACTCATATGTATATAGCACTTTAAGTTTTGAAAAGGGCTTTCCTCACAAAATCCCTGTGATGTAAATAATGCAAATATCATGATTCCCATTTTACAGATGTAGAAATTAAGTCTCTGAGTAGAAGAGTTTCCCATATCCTTCACTGCAGCTGCATCAAGTTTTTCAGTGTCCTATCCATACTCCATATTCATTCCTGCCTTTAGTCCTTGGCTCATACTTTTATCCCTTCCTGGGTTGCCTTTCCTAGTCTCCTCCATCTATCCAAATTGTACCATCCTTCAAGGTCCAGTTCAAGTGTCCCCTTCTTCATGAAGCATTCCCTGTCCACTCTAACCACAATGACCTTTCCGGTCCCTGATCTAGAACATACTGTTTGTGCCACAATTGGGCACTTGATTAAATATTGTCTTGAATTAAATATTGTCTCTTTTGTACATGAATATAGTCAGTCAGTAAGCATTTATTAAGTGACTACAATGTGTCAACAAGAGTCCCTCTCTAGAAGTTCATGGTCTAAGGTACTTGTGGGCAGGAAATATACCTTCTGTCCTTGAATCTCCCATAGTGCCTGTCACAAGGCTGGACCCATTCTATATGTATCTTTCGTGTCCCTAGTTATTTCCATGTTGTCTCTCCCATTAGAATATATACCCCCTGATGGCAGGGACCATTTTTACTTTTCTTTGTATCCTCAGTTCCTAGCACAGTGTCTGTATATAGTAAGCACTTAGGAAATGCTTGTCAACTGACTGAAATAAAGACTTGCCAAGCAACTGGCAATTAAATACTTCATCTCTCCTTAAGCATTTTCTGGTAGATTTTAATAGCCACTCTTCCTCCCAATAAACTAATCTCTGCTGGGGCCAGGGCACTCTTTGCGGAGCTAAACACTCAAGGTCAATTCAGCCAATGAGCATTTATTAAATCCCTCCTTTGTGCCAGGCACTGTGTTAAGAGCTGGGGATACAAAGAAAGGCAAAAACCAGTCACTGCTTTCAAGAAGCTCATGGTCTAATGGGTAACAGAACAATCAAACTGCTACTTATAAATAAGATATATAGAGATAAATTGTGGGTAGTCTCACAGCAAAGGCACTAAAATTAAGAGGACTGGGGAAGGCTTGGGACTTTAGTTGAGAGTTGAAGCAGCCAGGAGACAGGTGAGGAGGAGGGAAAATCATTCTGGGTGAGGGTTGAATATTTCCTTCAGAACCACAAACACAGGGGGTCCCAATTAGCAAAATCACATTAAACCATTCTTATCCATACCCTACCTTTTCCACTGTCAAGTCTTAGGGAAAAAGAGAAAGCATGGAGTCAGGAAGCCAAATTAAGATAATATTTCCCCCTTTGTCCTGCCACAAATCTGGCATTCTTGGTCCGGAGGACAAATGGCCAAATCTGAAGAGCACATCACCTCTAGATAAATAAGTGACAAGGGGCAAGGCCCCTCAGCTAAAAAAGGGTTCTTAATGATTTCAGGCGCCTTCCAAGACCCAGACCTCTGTGCTCTTAAAGCTGACTGCCTGGCTAGCCCTGTCCTCCTTTACATCATTAAAGAACACTCACAACTGATGACTTGTTTTCCCCTCCAATCTCAAGGAGCAGCTGGAAACGGGCCAAAGACTATCATCAAATCTCGTTCCCTCATCGCCATGGCTTGGAGACCAGCTGGAGCCAGGAAGGACCATCTATCAAAGGCACAGTCTCGAAGATGGAGCAGACTATGGGTCTCTTTTTGAAAGGAGACAGAGCCCTGTCTAGCTGGTAATGGGATCTCAGGGGAGGGCAGAACTATATGGGTCAGGTAATACTGTCCACAGAAGGGCTCACCTTCAGAAGAAAGACTTCGAGGTCCTTGTTCAAATTGTAAAAAGGGTGGAATACTTCTTAGAATCCTTTCCCTTCTCTGATGGTGAGAGACCCCCCTGCACCCAAATTCAGACACCTAGGACCCTCCTTCTGGGCATCAGGCTGCCCAGAGGACACCTTCCCCCATTTTAGCCCTTCAATTTTTTTTTTCCTCTCAACTGCTACTCATACACCTTACGTAGCCTGTATCCCTGATTTAGAATAAGATGTTCATGGCTGTTAATGGCTGATCCCTTCATAGGTAGCCTACCTCTGTCTATGTTAACTGGAGATTTCTGTACCCTAAATGAGGAGAGCATGGTTAAACACTGGGGATTTCAGGTGGAGCAGCAAGATGGTAGAGATATTTGGGGGGACGGGAGCCTTTCCAGGCTCCAAAAATCAAGGTAGACTTTTACATGATCTATGCACAGCTCTAGCTCTGGCCTGGATCCTCAGAGGTGGGGATTAAAGGAAGTCAGTACCTTCAAAGGTTTAGTCTACATCTTTCTTCCTACCTCTGACTTGCCTATCTACCAACATTTGGAAGCAGGCAGAGAAACAGTATCCATTGTGGCTGAGGATGAAAAGGTAAATCTGAGCAGCATGGCATGGCATGGCCATCCATGACCAAAGAAACTATTTTTTTCTTAGCCAAAAATTTGTATTTGCAACTAGGAAAAAAGGGCTCCACGGCGATAGGCCCGAGGCTAGGCACTGTACAGCATCCATTGAAGGTATGACATGTGCCCTCAGGGAGCAGGCTTTCTAGTCATCTCTACAGTGTGAAAGGCAGGGGAAACTGTGAGGCAGACACTCCTGTGACCTTCATTTTCACTGGGTCTCACCTAAGTATACTTATACCTCACCATCCATTACCCAAAGTTGTTCTAACTCCATGATCTTGAACTCTGAAATCTTCCTTTTTGACCAAGATCTTTTGTCATTCCCCTCTCCTTCCAATTCATACCTACTAAATCTGCATTTGTGGGCCACAGGAAAAGAGCCAGTAGATAAGGATAAATGAAAAAGAAGAGGAATGATTGATGGGGCATGCCCATAGAGGAGATGGATAGGAATGAAATTGAGGGCACTGATGATACAGTTAGTGTTGAGAAGAAAGAGGGCTATATTTTCCCCAAAGACAAAGGAAGTGAAGATGTAGATGAGTTTTATGGAGAACTAG